CGCTTCTGCCTGTCATCATGCGATTTGCTGCTGCTGTGCCCCCCTGCACGTCTCCCGAGGGGCTTCTGCGTGGTGATGGCGTCGCTGGGGCCGGTCATCGCGTATTTCTGAACGTGTTGTTGCAATTGCAAGAGGTCTATTGTTGCTCGGTGTTCTTCTGCTGCTGCTCGACCACTGTTTGCTCCAGCTGGATGCGGAACTCCTCTGGTCGCGGCATGGCGATAGTCTTAAGTCGGGCGTGTCTCCCTACAGGGGGATTTTCGACGAAAAATGAAACATACTCCAACAATAGTCAAACAATAATCAAAAAATAGTGTGGGGACTATTTTTGAGTATTTTTGGACCTTTTTGGGGCATTTTGGGGGTATTTTTTATTCTTGGTCGAAAATCCTCCTGTAGGGGGACAGGCCCGACTTAACGACAGTCGTCCTGCGCCCAGCCGTCTCCAGGTGTCTGCTACCCTGACACGTCGATTGAGGAATTGGCCGTTTTCGGTTCGCGAGAGGGCGTCGCGGCCGTCATTTTCGCGGGTCCAGGTCCGTCGGTTTCGGCCCCAGGCCGTTTTCACTATGGGGAGGTTTACTAAAGGGAGGTTTGTCCACCGCCGAGAATCAAAGACTGGGGCTCAAGGGACAGGGGTCAGTGCAAACGGGGGGCAGTCGGGACGACGGATCTTGCAGGATCCTGCAGGGCCAGGGGCACGCCGGCCCGGGTTTGCGTGCAGAGTCCTGCAAGGCCTGACTGACCCGGGTCTGGATTGACCCGGGTCAGTAGATCCCCGAAGAGACATTTGAATTTGTTGCTGCTCTTCGATGATCCTTGGTCCCCCTCGATCCTCCCGACCAGGGGCTTCGATCTGGTGAGGCGTCAGTTCGCCGTGAAGCACTACAGGAGGAGGGTCTTCCCAGCCTCTCACCTGCACAATTTGACGCGCCGGCGAGCCGCTTGGTCGGATTACCCTCGACCATCAGCCGATTTCGGTCGCAGACCTCCATCCCCTTCCTCCTGCTCCTTGGCCTTCCTCGAGGATCGATGTCTCATGTTTTTACATCTTTTTTTGTTTGAATCCTTTGGAGGCCTCACAGGACTTCCCTGAACCTCCAGATACCGTTTGAGATCTCTTCGTCCTCGTCGTCGTCGTCGCACTCGTACTCGTACTCGTACCCGTACTCGTACTCGTCGCCGTCGTCGTACTCGTAATCGTGCTCGTACTCGCACTCGTACTCGGACTCGTACTCGGACTCGTACTTGTCGTCGTCGCCGTTAGTATCCTCCCTCGACTCCCCGTTTCTTGGGTTCTGGGTTGGGGCGTGCGGTGACCGCGCTCGGCTCGGGCAGCTCCTTCCGCTTGCAAGCGGCATTTCCGGCTGGCTCGGCCTCTTCTGCATTGGCAAGTTTCGGGAGGGGGTAAAACATAGGCACAAGCAATCGTCGATGCCCAGGAACATATGGGAAGTGGGGGGAAGACGAGAATGCAGAACATGTGGGGACACGTGGGGGATCCTGGGATTGGTGTTTGCATGTTATTGTGTGCCCCTGGGCCCCTTCACTCTTCTGCCTTGACGAGCTGATGAGGAGGGGCGAGGAGGTGGAGGAGGAGGAGGAGGAGGAGGAGGAGGAGGAGGAGGAGGGGCGAGGAGGAGGGAGGAGGAGGAGAGGAGGAGGAGGAGGAGGAGGAGGAGGAGGAGGAGAGGAGGAGGAGGAGGAGGGGCGAGGAGGCGGAGGAGGAGGAGGAGGAGGAGGAGGAGGAGGAGGAGGAGGAGGAGGAGGATGAGGGGCGAGGAGGAGTGGCCAAGGCCCCCGACGTCGTGATCTGTCCACGAGGTGGGCCCCCCCAGAGCTCTTGACCCCAGGTGCAGTGGAGACCCATGCCAAGAGACTCAGGAGGGGAAAAACACACAGACACCATGAATCGTCGATTCCCAGGACAATGTGGAACATGATCGACCCACGAACCCGGAAAGGAATCTAGAAATGGAAGGCATGGCAACGTTCAAAGACACCTGATTGGGCGATGGGCAAATGCAATGCTGAATGTATCGATCTTGATGTACCGTGCCGAGGGCTGTGCTGTGCTACGCCGTGCTGAACTGCGATGTGACATGCCGCGATTGTGCTCTAGATAGCGTTGTGGATCGAGTCCTCCCTGGCATCCGGGTCCTGACCGAACTGATCTGGATCTTAAGCTCGAGCTGCTTGAGCAGATGGTAGCTGCCCCAGAACTAATCGACAGAGGGGACATGCCAGGAGGACGCGCCGCTGAACGTCCCAAGGCACGCGCCAGGCGACGTGCCAGGGGACATGCCATGGCCACGCACCGCGGGACGTGCCAAGGGGACGCGCTACGGAACGTGCCAATGGACGTGCCGCGGGACGTGCCAGGGACGCGCCGCGCGACGTGCCAGGTGGACTCGCCACGGAACGCGCCAAGGAACGTGCCAAGGTGCAATGTTGAGTGTATCGATCTTGATGTACCGTGCCGAGGGCTGTGCTGTGCTGGGCCGTGCTGAATTGCGATGTGACATGCCGCGATTGTGGCCTAAATAGCGTTGTGGATCGAGTCCTCCCTGGCATCCGGGTCCTGACCGAACTGATCTGGATCTTAAGCTCGAGCTGCCTGAGCTGCCCCAGAACTATCGACAGAGGGGACATGCCAGAAGGACGCGCCGCGGAACGTCCCAAGGGACTCGCCAGGCGACGTGCCAGGGGACGTGCCATGGGCACGCACCGCGGGACTTGCCAGGGGGACTCGCCACGGAACGCGCCAAGGAACGTGCCAGGCAACATGCCAGGCTGAAATGCTAAGGGTATCGATATTGATGTACCGTGCCGAGGGCTGTGCTGTGCCTGGGCGACCTGGACATGTGAAAACACGCGTTTCGCTCAAGACGTTCTCAGCACATCCTCATGCTAGACATCCGCCTGGGCAATCTGGACACGTGCAAACAAGCGTCTCGATCGAGACTTCCTCGACACGTCCTCATGCCAGACATCCTCCTGGGCGACCTGGAAACGTGAAAACAAGCCTCTGGTTCGAGACATCCTCAACACATCCTCATGCTAGACATCTGTCTGGGCAATCTGGAGGCGCGAAACCAAGTGTCTCGCTCGAGACATCCTGAAGACCTGGGCACGTGAAAACAAGCATTTCACTTGAGAGATCCGCTGAATTCAGGTCCCCAGGAGAGGACAATCTATAAAACAAAACAAGCGTTTCGTTCGAGACATCCTCAGCAAATTCTGGAATACCAGCGTTTCGCTAGGGACATCCTCAAATTCTAATTCGCCGGCCCACCTCGACCTCGATATTTATCGCGAAAGAAATTCGCCGGCCCACCTCAAGTCAAACCCGGAGGAGGGGGAACAAACTAAAAGAGAACCCTGGGCTTAAAGCCCTTTCCAGGAAACATGTCGGAAGTGTGGGGGAAACAACAGCTCAGAAAATATGGGAAAAGATGGGGAATCTTTTTATTTGTGTATATTTATTTGTGTATCTCAGGGCCCCTTCAGAGACGCCCTGCTTGCCTCCAGGGTGCCCTGGGTTCCTTGGGTTTCGGTGTTTTTTCTCAACCCTCCTATGGTTGGGTACTCGTTTTGAATAGAGCAGCGTGGTCGCCCCGTCCCTCCTCCCTCCTCCTCCCCTCCTCCTCTCCTGTTTCCTGTCTTCCCCTCTCCTCTTCTCTCGTGCCGTCGGGCTGCGATCTGCGCAATTGTCGCCACTTTCGTGGGCTCCTGGGATGCCCAGCGGAGGTACGTCCCACGGCGGATCACCTCGGGACCTCGCGGTGCCCTGGGGGCTGCGATCTGCGCAACCGTCGCCACTTTCGTGGGCTCCCGGGAGGCCCAGCGGTCTTCTTGTGGTAGTGGCCGGCGGGCTGCCAGGAGCTTCCTTGTGCAGTCGAAGCCGTTGGTGGGCATGGGACAGGTGCGGTCGGAGCGATATACATGATCGAGGTCTGTTCGAGGAGGGGGTACCCGCATGCTTTTCGTGTTCTTGTTGGATGCTCTGGTACATCCTGGGGGGGTACCCTCGAATGTGCTTCAGTTTGGCCGGCGGAGGGTCTCATGTTCTTGAAGGATGTTCTTCTGTCCTGGGTCTGGCCGCAGCCTTTCCAAGGAGTGCCCTTGCATCCGTGCCTCTTTGATCCATCCTTAAGTTCTTCCGATGCCCCGCCGCGCTCGAAACGGCTTCAGCACGAGCGCCCAAGGGGCTTGCGTCCTTGTCGCTCATCCTTGCTGTCGGTGCCACATGCAGGGGGTCCAGAGGAGGGGCTTCGCCTTCGAGGGATGAGGGGCTTTTGGCACCTCGTCCTCGGCTGCAGGCCAGCGGAAAGCCCGCGGAAGCTGGCGGAGGTAAGACTGGAGTCGCGGACAACACGAATGTGCACATCCATTGCGTCTCGCAGCTTCGGCCCCCCTTACCCAGAAACCCGAGACGCGGTGGATATGGATCAGAAGCCTTGCCCCTAGCCATCCCAGGCTTTTGTCCACATTCTTTTTGTTTCGAGTGTTTGGAGTCCCTTTCCGGAAAACTCAAGAGGCCGTGGATATGGATACAGATTTTGCCCGCAAGGGTGTCTCCGCATGCGTAGGTTGGCGGAAATCCTGCGGAAGGCGGCGGAGGGAAGGGCGGACGCCCAAGACAAGTAATGTCGACATGCCAAGGGTCTCGGAGTTTGATCTGCAGGCAGCTCAGTTTCAGCCGTGAGGAGTGGTGGGCCGCTCCTGCACAGCAGCTTCTGTTGCATCTTCGGGGGACCTCGCCTGTCCCAAAACATTGTTTCTTTTTGGGGGCCCGACGCGTGCTCGATGCGGACTCGACGCGGATTTGGCGTGGATTCGACGCGGATTCGACACGGATTCGACGCGGATCCGACGCGTCCGACATGGATTCGACACGGATTCGACGCGGACAGGGCCGCGACGGGACAGACAAGGTCCCCCGAGGATGCAACACATAGCAGCGTGAGGACTCTCCGCTTCCTCGTTCTCCACCTGTTTCACATGCCGAGGCGCGGTGATCCCTCCTCTTCGGGCTGTGCCTCCGCTCGCCTGCAGCGCCTCTGGAGCCGCACTCTGCCGAGCGCGCTCCTCGGGCCTGCCGGGAGAGCTGGGAGGTCGAGGCTCCCGTCGGCGCACAGACCAGAGCCACACAGGCCACGGAGCTTCTGCGATCAACATCGTCAGCACAGTTGTTCTCGGCAACGCGCAGAGGGGGGTGGGGGGAGGGGGGAAGGCTTCTTAGAAGCACCCCTGCTTCTTAGAAGGCGCGGGCCTTCTCTATAGACGTAAGGCCGAGGCCTTCTAAGAAGCAGGGTGCTTCTAAAGGCCAGCGCCTTCTAAGAAGCAGCCCCCTTCTAAGAAGCCTTCCCCCCTCCTCCTACCCCCTTTTGCGCGCCGCTAATGTTCCTTCTGGTCCAAATCTGCTTGCCCGTCGGAGTTCGATGGCATCGTGCTACTGGTTGACTGCGGGTGCCCCGCGCCTGCGATTCACGGTGTGCTTATGGCCCTCGTATGTTGACGGCGCACGTGCGCCATGTTGTTGCTCGTCCATGCATCTTCCCTGTTGTGTGTGTGTGTGCCTTTGCGTTCCCGCTTGTTTGCGTGTGACGTCGGGCTCCGATGTATTCGTGTGCGTTTCTTCGTATCTTTGTGCGCTCCCGTTTGTATGTTTGAGGGTTCCGGCGCTGGAGAAGCTCTTGCATGCCCCTGGGCGAGTTCCACCCCCAAGGCGTATTCCTGCGAGGCATTACCTCTCACACGTGGTCCAATGTCGGAGGTGAGGGGGTGAGATCGCAGTGGAACTGCGAGCCCCCCACCAGGAAATCGGTTTCGGTTGCGTGTTCGTGCCGTGCGTGCGGGCGAGGCGAGGCTGCGTGGGCGCGCGAGAGGAATGATGCCCCCCCGTGGCTGGGGACTGCGTAGCCGCTTGTCCCGCCCCCCCCCGGCCCCCCGGCACGCGTTGTTGGTGGCGCGTCGTTGTCCCGTCGGTGTTCCGTCGTTGGCGCGGAGTGTCCCGTCGGTGGCGCGGCGGTGAGATCGATAATGCGATCGAGCGTGACATCGATTGAGATCCGTTGTGCCACTGATGGTGAGACCAATTGTGAGAACGATAGTGGGATCTGTTGTAAGATCGATCGTTAGATCTGTCGTGAGATCGATCGTGATATCTGTTGTGAGATCGATGGCGAGACCGATCGTTAGATCGATGGTGAGATTGCTCGTGAGGTCTATAGTGGGATCGACAGTGGGATCGATAATGAAGATCGATCGTGAGAGCGATTGTGAGATCGACAGTGAGACCGATAGTGAGAACGGTTATGAGATCGATTGTGAGATCGATGGTGAGACCGATAGGGCGAACTGTTGTAAGATCGATCGTGAGTCCGAATGTCTGTTCGGTAGTGAGATCGATTGTCAGATCGATGGTGAGATCGCTAGTGAGATCGATAGTGAGATCTGTTGTGAGATTGATCGTGAGATCGCATGTGATATCGATAATGAGGTCGCTTGTCAAATCGATAGTGAGATCGATTGTGAGATTGGTAGTGAGATCTGTTTGAGATCTGTTGTGAGGCCGATTGTGATATCGATAGTGCGATCTGTTGTGAGATCGATCGTGAGATCTGTTGTGAGATCCGATCTTGTGATCTGTTGTAAGATCGATTGTGAGATCGCTCGTGAGATCTCTAGTGGGATTCGATTGTGGGGTTGATTGTGAGACCGATAGTCGGATCGATTGCGAGATCGATTGTGAGATCGATAGTGAGACCGATAGTGAAAATTGTTGTGAGATCGCTAGAGCGTTCTAATTTGAGATCGATTGTGCTACCAATAGTAGATCGATGGTGAGATCGCTCGTGAGATCTATAGTGGGATCGACAATGATATCGATAGTGAGATCGATCGCGAGATCGATTGTGAGATCGATATTGAGACCGATCGTGAGAACTGTTGCGAGATCGATTTTGAGATCGATAGTGAGACCGATAGTGGGGACCGTTGTGAGACCGATCGTGGTTCTGAATGCGAGATCAATAAGGAGATCGACGTGAGATCGGTTCAATGAGACGTTGGTCCCCCCCCGAGCCCCCACATCACCAGAAGGGCGGTTGTATAGGTAGTAGTATTCCAGCACTACACTGCTTAGTCATGTGGACGCTTTTGCCGTCGATTGTCCAACAAAGCGTGTCTTCAGCGGCTTCCAGGGGGCTGGCTCAGTGTCTACACGGAAGCTGGAAAACATGGTTCGGGTCAGCCCTTCCAATTTCAAGTTTGCCTCAAGCTTTCCCGGCCCTGCTTGCTCATCCACTGCCACATCCACCTACGCAGTTGAGAAGGCGCGCACCTCGGCAGCTCCCGCGCGGCGCCGACCCGCCACACTGACTGCCGCATGCTGTGCCAGCACGTGCCGTACTGCGCACTGCTCCGCGGTATCCAACATGGCTGGGCCACGTCGCAGATCGGCATCACTGTACCTCACCACCCACCAAACCACCCCAACCCAACCCGAAGGCTTCAATTTGCCCTCCATTTCCAGTGGGGGGGGATCGGGGAACGTCGAAAAAACACGTGGTCCCCTTACCCCCCCCCAACCCGAAATTCGGGTCAAATTCGTGCCTTCGGGTTGGGTTGGGGTGGTCTGGTAGGTAGTCAGTACCGCACGAGCGAAGACGTTCTGGCGCGGCGGTGGCGGGCGCGCGGATCCCCGAGGCGCACTGCCCGCGCGGCGTCTCCCCGCCCCCCCGGGCGCGGCCCATGCGCCTTCCGCCCCGTCCCGCGACGGGCGGCGCAGCCCGATTCGGGGCAATCCCTTCGGTACAGTGCCGTTATGCTGGGAGCCCGCGGCGCTCCCCTCCCCCCCGCCGCCCGCTCCTCGCCCCCATCCCTTTTTTTTCCCTATTGCGGAGCTCTCTGAGGCCTAACCGGGGTGGCATGCCTGTGCTCTTTTTGTGGTTGTTGCCGTTGCTGACGCTGTTTGTTGTTGTTGTTGTTGTTGTTGTTGTTGTTGTTGTTGTTGACGCTGTTTGTTGTTGTTGTTGTTGCTGTTGCTGTTGCTGTTGCTGTTGCTGTTGCTGTTGTTGTTGCTGCTGCTGCTGCTGTCGTTGTTGTTGTTGTTGTTGTTGTTGTTGTTGTTGTTGTTGTTGTTGTTGAATTTGTATTCCAGAAGAACAATGACTGTTGACCCCCCCCCACCGGTGCATACTCCTTTTCTCAATCTAAGTGTGTCCCTCGACGCTCGCACCCTGTTTTTTGCAGGGAGGGTCTTGATGCTCAAATTGTGCCCTTGGCCCCCGGGTTACAACAACAACGGCTCCCGCCTGAGACTTCCTCACAATTTAACCAGGACCCCAGCTCCCGCCCGAGACTTTCCCACATTTTCTTCAGCAGTCGCGCTCTCGCTAGGGACTTCCTTACACTTTATTCAGGAGCTCTCCCGGCGCTCTGGAGTCGCGCTCTCGCTGGAGACTTGCTTGCAATTTACTGAAGAGTAGCGTCCTTGCGTTGGAATTTCTTGCAATTTACTCAAGCGCCGCGCTCCCGACACCCAGGCACCCAGGAGTGGCGCTCACGCTTAGGACTCCCTCACAGATTACTTAGGAATCGGGATATCGCTGCTCTTCGTGGCCCCGTTGCAGCCCCTCGTGGCCCCCTCGCTTTGTTTCGTGGCCCTGTTGTATCCCTTCGTGGCCCCCTCGCTGCCCTTCGTGGCCCCGTTGCAGCCCTTCGTGGCCTCCTCGCTGCCCATCGTGGCCCCGTTGCAGCCCTTCGTGGCCTCTTCGCTTTGTTTCGTGGCCCCGTTGCAGCCCTTCGTGGCCTCCTCGCTGCCCTTCGTGGCCCCGTTGCAGCCCTTCGTGGCCCCGTTGCAGCCCTTCGTGGCCCCCTCGCTGCCTTTCGTTGCCCCGTTGCAGCCCTTCGTGGCCCCCTCGCTGCCCTTGGTGGCCCTATATATGTATGCCCTTCGTGGCCCCCGCTCGTTCGCGCCCGTTGTGGCCCCATATTCATGCCCTTCGTGGCCCCCGCAGTCGCCGCTTGTTGCCCCCTCACTGCCCTTCGTGGCCCCGTTGCTGCCCTCAGTGGTCCGGTCCCTGCCCTCCGCGGCCCAACATACGTATGCCCTTCGTGGCCCTCGCTCGTTCGCGCCCGTTGTGGCCCCATGTGCATGCCCTTCGTGGCCCCGCTGTCGCCGCTTGTGGCCCCCTCACTGTCCTACGTGGCCCAGTTGCTGTCGTCAGTGGCCCCATCGTTGGCTTCTGTGGCCCCGCATTATCTGCCCTTCGTGGCCCCCGCTCGTTCGCGCTCTTCGTGGCCCCATACGCATTCCCTTTATCTCCCCGCTGTCGCCCTTCGCGGCCTACTTCGTGTCCTTCGTGGCCCTGCTGTCGTTCTCTCTCGCTCTCGCTTTCGCTCGTCGTCGTCGTCGTCGCCACCGTCGTCGACGTCGCCGTTGCCGTCGTCGTCGTCGTGGTCGGTCCCCTGTCCGTCCCTTTTGGGGTCGGGTCGACGGTCCACGGCCGCCCCGCCGATCAGAGCTGCCGCTGGCCAGGCCGACGGTCCGCGGCCGCCCTGCCGCTTGCCGGGGCCCGGCCTGCAGGGAAGAAGGGTATACCCCCGAGAAGGGGTTCGATCGAAGACGAAGAGGGCGGGTATCGAGGGTTTGGGAAATACGCGTGATTGGACACTCGAGCAGATAACGGCGAACAGTCTTAAAATGATATTTGTTGTTGTTGTTGCTCTTGCTGCTGCTGCTGCTGTTGTTGTTGTTGTTGTTGTTGTTGTTGTTGTTGTTGTTGAACATTATTACTACTTCTAAAGAATAATTATTGTTGGGGCCCCTGGTGCATGGCCCCCCCGCCGCGCCTAGGCCGCAGCCTCATTTTCATCATTTTCGTGAGGAAGTCTCAGGCAAAACGGGGGAGTCCGGATCCGGTTGTGTTGTTACGATCGGTTTTCCCTTGCAAAAAATAAGCTAAAGTGGACATTTCTTGTTCTAACATAACCAAACTTCAAGAATCCCTTGCAAAAAATAAGGTAAAGTGGACATTCGCGCGCGCAAGACGAAATCCTTCCAAAACCTTAGTTTTCGTAGCGATTTTAACATAAAAACATCAAAAAACCAATGGTTTTTCAAAAAAAAATGTCAAAATTTCATCCCGCGCGCTCTTGCGGATTCGTAGGAAACCCAACACTTTTTAAACATTTCTGTCAAACGGGCTTTTGCGAGCAACTTTTTCGAACTTCTGCAACAACGGTTGCGCACCTGCCAGGGCCATCATCCCTGTCAAATAATACCATGCGGGACACATTCGTTTTTTCTTCGCGCGCGCACGCCGTCGTCGTCGGCCGCGGGGCCCTGAATAGTAGCCACGGTCGTCCGCATGCCACGAAGTGAAGTGTCCGAACGTCATAGGGCGGGAAGCTGGGTGTGGGTGGTGGCGAAGAGTCGTTTGGAAATTTGGTAGAGCTTGAACCGGCCCCCCCACAAAGTGGGGGTATTGCCCGCCTCCTATGAAAACCCAGGCACTGGTGAGAACGGTGTGTCCCCACGTGCTAGTAATTGTTGTTGTTGTTGGTGTTGTTGTTGTTGTTGTTGTTGTTGTTGCTGTTGTTGTTGTTGTTGTTGTCGTTTGTGCTGCTGTTGTTGTTGCTGCTGTTGCTGTTGCTGTCGCTGTTGCTGTCGTTGTTGTTAGTGTCGTTGTTGCTGCAGCTGTTGCTGTTGCTGGTGCTGTTGAATTTTCATTTCTGAAGAATAATTATTGTTGATCCCCCACCACCGGTGCATATTGTTTTTCTCAATCAAAGTTTGCCCCTCGACGCTCGCACCCTGTCTTTCTTGTATCAGGGAAAGTCTTGAGGCTCAAACTGGACCCCTGGCCCCCCGGGTTACAACAACAACGGCTCCCGCTTGAGACTCCTCGCGGTTTAGCCAGGACCCCCGCTCCCGCCCGAGACTTTTTCGCATTTTATTCAGGAGTCGCGCTCTCGCTTAGGACTTCTTTACACTTAATTCAGGAATCGCTTTCCCGGCGCACTGGGGTTGCGCTTTCGCTGGAGACTTGCTTTCAATTAACTGAAGGATAGCGCCGTTGCCTTGGAAGTTCTTGCAATTTACTCAAGCGACGCGCTCCCGACAACCAGGCACCCAGGAGTCGCGCTCACGCTTAGGACTCCCTCACAGATTACTTAGGAATCGGGATCTCGCTGCCCTTCGTGGCCCCGTTGCAGCCCTTCGTGGCCCCCTCGCTTTGTTTCGTGGCCCCGTTGCATCCATTCGTGGCCCCCTCGCTGCCCTTCGTGGCCCTGTTGCAGCCCCTCGTGGCCTTCTCGCTGCCCTTCGTTGCCCCGTTGCATCCCTTCGTGGCCTCCTCGCTTTGTTTCGTGGCCCCGTTGCAGCCCTTCGTGGCCCCCTCGCTGCCCTTCGTGGCCCCGTTGCAGCCCTTCGTGGCCCCGTTGCAGTCCTTCGTGGCCCCCTCGCTGCCCTTCGTTGCCCCGTTGCAGCCCTTCGTGGCCCCCTCGTTGCCCTTCGTGGCCCCATATATGTATGCCCTTCGTGGCCCCCGCTCGTTCGCGCCCGTGGTGGCCCCATATGCATGCCCGTCGTGGCCCCCGCAGTCGCCGCTTGTTGCCCCCTCGCTGCCCTTCGTGGCCCCGTTGCTGCCCCCAGTGGCCCCGTCCTTGCCCTCCTCGGCCCAACATGCGTATGCCCTTCGTGACCCCCGCTCGTTCGCGCCCGTTGTGGCCCCATGTGCGTGCCCTTCGTGCCCCCGCTGTCGCCGCTTGTGGCCCCCTCACTGTCCTACGTGGCCCAGTTGCTATCGTCAGTGGCCCCATCGTTGGCTTCTGTGGCCCCGCATTATCTGCCCTTCGTGGCCCCCGCTCGTTCGCGCTCTTCGTGGCCCCATACGCATTCCCTTTATCTCCCCGCTGTCGCCCTTCGTGGCCTACTTCGTGTCCTTGTGGCCCTGCTGTCGTTCTCTCTCGCTCTCGCTTTCGCTCGTCGTCGTCGTCGTCGCCGTCGTCGTTGTCGTCGACGTCGTCGTTGCCGTCGTCGTCGACGTCGTCGTCGTCGTCGCCGTCGTCGTCGTCGTCGTCGTGGTCGGTCCCCTGTCCGTCCCTTTTGGGGTCGGGTCGACGGTTCGCGGCCGCCCCGCCGATCAGCGCTGCCGCTGGCCAGGTCGAAGGTCCGCGGCTGCCGAGGGGCCCGGCCTGCAGGGAAGAAAGGTATACCCCCCAAAAGGGGTTCGATCGAAGACGAGAAGGGCGGGTATCGAGGGTTGAGGAAATACGCGTTATTGGACACTCGAGCAGATACGGACGACTAGTCTTAAAGTTATTGCTGTTGTTTTTGTCGACATTAAAAACATGATGGGCCCACGAACCCGGAAAAAAGGATATCGACATGTGCAGCATGGCCACGTTTTCATGATACCCAACTGGGCGACACCTGACGAAACATCCCACGAGACACCCCGCGAAA